CATTAAAATTTGTTTTAAAAGGCTTGGGCGTTATTTTGAGACTTACTGGTTTTGCTTAACTTTTTAAAGGAACTTTAGAAAAGACCTGAAGTATTTGTTTTAAGTTGTGTTGCAGAATTGCTGAAACTTTAAATTATTCTTAGCGGCGAGTGCGATGCAATATTTTGTACTCCACAGTCTGGCATGAAATACGTCGTGAGGAGAGACATCTAGTAGGGCTATTAGAGGGGGTAGAATGATACCGTGTCGACAGTACAGAGATTGACTTTAGTATCTGCATAACTAAGTGTTCAACCTCCTCTGTCATTTGCTACCGTGCGTTATGCTTCTGGGCTATTATTTTCAACGTGTGATTACAGCTCACGGTCGACAGTTCTAGTAAGGAGGATGTTAAAAAAATTCTGCTTCAACTTGTCAACCGCTTCTTTTTTAATTTTTATTATTATTTTTGCTGGAAAAGCTTGGAGACATGAATGATGGGATGAAGATTTTTATTTGAGATCTTTAGTAACTCAGGATTCAAACAACACTTGAGTAAGCTAGACATTTTAAATGCGAACGGTGTTTGACACTTAAGCTTTGTTCAGTATTCTTTAAGTTTCAAAAAGCAAAGGAAATCATCAGGCAGAGGTGGCTGTTATGATTAAAATTTACTATACATGTCTTATAACTACAGTGCCTTGCAAATTTTTGCAGAGAATTTTTGGACAAAATGATCGACAGGTTTAAAGACTTCTTAATAAGATAATTAATATTATTGCAACAGTTAGCTTTCTCAGTAATTCATTAGCACAAAGCTTCTCATATTAACTAGAAAACTCGTACTTGTTTTTGGAACGTTCTATAAAAGAGTCACTGAATACCTGAATTTGAAGGAGATTTTGAAGAAAACGGCGAAACAGGTACCTAAGGGCTGAACTATGGTAGATTTCTGCAGTGTTTGCATTTTCGAGTATACTTTGCTTAATGCAGCAGAAAAAAGAATTTTCCAAATGTCTCGTAGGTTGTTTTTAATATCAAGTTCTGCAGAATGACTTTTAACATTTTATTTCAGTGGTTAAGAACTTGCTTGTTTTTGAAAAGTACGCCAAAATTAGTTTTATAAAAAAATTGTCTAGTGCATAGTGGGCAACTCCGGATACAGTGCAGTATTGGATGCTCCTAAAAGTATACGTCATTAATGCAGCAACAGTGACCGCTGCCAGCAGCTTCATTTTAATATTTCTAGCAGGGAAATTACATGTGCAAAACTGCAAAAAGAACTTTAACCTTGCTGCGCAATTTTTAGGAAATAATAAAAAACGAAGGAAGCATGTAATTACAATCTCTACTGGACAATCCAATTAAAAAACCTACTTGAAAGACCTACTTTTGTATCCTGCAGCAGAAATTGTTCAGTTCTTTTCACTTAAACAGTGACTGTACGAGAAGAGAAACGAGAAAGGTCATAAATTGGTAAAATGAAACAAAACTTAAAAGATTGATGACCTTCCTAATCTTCCATTTATTTAAACTGAGTAGAACTAAATCTTAGCAATTTTGAAATTGCACTGGAAAAGAACTGATTTGAGTGGATCCTATCATTCTCGCATAACACGCCTAAACCAATTAAGTCTTCGCTCTTGTCAGCAAAAGATATGATACCGTTTTTATTAGGATTCTCATGCTGTAAAGGCGTTGAGTTTCAGTAGCAAAAAGATGGCTTTTAAACAGATTAATTCCATTTCCAAATGAATTTCCAACAATTGTGAGGACGTAATCTTAACATCACAGTTCATGGAATTTCTTAGATTTTAGTATAATCAAAGCTCGTATGTCCCCTTGCTATTAATTGTCTTCAATTAGCAGTTGCAGTTGCACAACATTTAGCCTATATTATAATGATTTGTATGTCGTCCTGCACACGGAGCCAAAGCGCCTCATTCCTATCTCCTTCCAACGTATTAAACCGACGTAAGCCAGCCACACGCTTTTACCGATCCTCTCGTTCAGAT